TTATTATTTTACTCGGCTTAGGTTTAATGTGACTCAACAAATCATAGAAGTGAATTTATAATGAATAGCCCATTACATAAATATATAAATACAACCATGAATAGTGAAACAGAAATGTTGGGCCTTAATGATGCATTTTTAAACTTTGGGCAGTTGTAGAGCTTGAGAAAGGCTGGTGGGCCTTATGATACATTTTTAAATAACTTGTAAAATGTCTATATAAGGACAATCTAGTCAAATTATAACTTAAATTTGTTAGGAAGATCTATTTCTACCAAATTGAAACTTTAAAAATGTTTTTTTTTTTTGCATATGAGAAATGTGATATGTATTACATGTAAGCATACTATAAGAAGAAATAGCATGATTGACTTGTTACAAAATGTCCCGTGTTAAATGTGAGATATGCATGATCGATGATGGAGCTGTAGCTTAAAAATTAGACAAACTAAATGGCTATTTTTTTCGTGAAACCAAATGCAAGAGTGGCCTAGAATGCCCCACGTATCCATCCTTTGAAGAGGAAAGAATCAATTTCGTTATTTTTATCTAGATCAAGACAACTTAGATAAACTATAATGCAAAACACGATAAAATTAAGTAGCCACTAGGCAATCTCAACAAGTTACAAAAATGTATTGTCATAGAGAGTTTAGTTGTTGATATAATTGCACAAGATTTAATAGCATGTGCTTAGACTAAGGTTTGGACAGTTTTAGACAATAGAATAGAATTATATAGGGGATTTCAAATAATTGAATGGATATTGTTAAGCTGAATTGAGTTATTAAACAATAAAAAATATGTTAAGTCCCATCGAATTAAGATCATTGCACCTGTGTATATGCGGGAATCTTTGGAGCAGCTGAGTGATTGTTTTGTGGTATCATACCTGCAACTCATACCATGTAACATATCGAAATAGTGAAATTTTCATCTCAATTGGAGTTCCAAGTATCTCTAATGTTACGTTTGAAAGTACTGAATCGATACCTTAGATTTAGAAGTAATAAAAATTTAGTTTAAAGTTTTCATTAAATTTTCTAAAATTCTAAATTTAAACCGATCAAAAATCTATCATTCTAAGTGTTAATGTTAGAAAACACAATATCAAAACAAGTTGTTTGAAGTAACTAGTAGGTACACAAGTGATGAGATGACATGTTTTTTTACAGTAGGATTTGCACTCGAATATGCCATAGAGTGAAACTATTGGAAAGATCCGAATCCAAAAGAAACAAAAATAAGAAGAAGAAGATAAATCTAAAAATTCAAGTTTAGATAACCAACCATACCGGACGTTTTCAGCCCAATTTAATTCCTCATCAAAATTAATAGCCATTGAAGGGGATGATGAGTTTCTCTCTTCCCTACTCCGCCAAATTTCTCCCGCCTTCGTTCAAACCCGTAAAACCCCAACTTGGAACCTCTCAAGAACTGTCTGATCCGTCTCGCCAACATAGGACACCACCAAGCTAGCAATCTCCACCCTTGATCTCATGATTCAACATGGAAACTCAAAAAAACACACCTTTTTTCACACAATGTGTACATCTCTCTAGTTGATTATCTTGGAACAAAATTTATTTAATTTAATTAAATTTGATTTTTTGTGGAATACTTAATTCATTCCTTTCAAAAATTTATTGGGACAAGTGCAGAAAATATCCCTAAAGTATACTCATCGTAGCACTTTCACCCTCAATTTGAAAAGTGTGAAAAAAAAAACACCCTTAATCTTTTCACATTGCGCAAAAAATACTAATCGATAAAAAATCTGACATAAATTAATGTTATAATACCCATTTTGCCATTTTACTCTTTCGAAAATGTCCAAGGGAGTATATATACTACTAATCTCATAATATAAGGGTGTTATATGCATATTACTTTATAATTTTTTAATTTTTTTTTTCACTATATATATCTCTAATAATAATAATAATAATAATAATTATTATTATTATTATGTTTTGAAACTTTTAAAATTTGTAGAATAAGGATTTAAATTTTTGAGATTTTAGTTTACCGTTTTCTACAAAAAAAAATTTCTTTAATTTTTTTTTTTTTTTTTTAAACCAACATGGTTAAACAAAAAGAAAAATAAATCCCAATTTCAGTTTGCACTGATTTTCAGAGTTTGGAGCATGTTTGTTTTCTTTAGTTTGCAATTTATTTTCATTTTTTATTTTTTATTTTTATCTTTATTTTACTTTTCTTTTATAATTTAATTTTAATTTTAATTTTCTATTTTTATATTTACTTGTCCATTGTCGATGTCCTCTAATAGTGTCATTTTCGGTCATTTTACAAAATTATTTATTTTTATATATTTTATAAAATTGTTCAGTAAGGATAACTTAGTCAACTTAGGGTTTAAATTTTCCATAGGGTCCTATTTGCATCAAATTGAAACTTTAGGTGTATTTTTTTGCATGTGAAGGACATCCTCCAATAGTGTCATTTTTAGTCATTTTACAAAATTATTTATTTTTATATATTTTATAAAATAGTTTAGTATGGATAATTTAATCAACTTAGGGTTTAAATTTATTAGAAGGATCAATTTGGTACAAACTTTAAGAGTGTTTTTTACATGTGAGGGGCATCCTCCAATAGTGCCATTTTCGATCATTTTACAAAATTATTTATTTTTATATATTTTATAAAATGGTTTAGTAAGAGTCATTTACTCAATTTAGAATTTAAATTTATTAGAGAGTCCTATTTGTACTAAATTAAAACTTTGGGGGTGTGGTTTTCTGCCCTGCCCCACAATATATTACATAACAATTAAAATAATAGTAAGAACTTTAATATCAACGCTAACAGTCTTAGAGTGAGATAATTGGAAAACAATACGTTAGGAGGAGGAAATGATAGTTTTTGGTATTTGAACCACGTCCCTTGGTTTTAGGCAAGGGTTTCTCCTTCGCTGATCTTTCTGATCTGCGAGAGGGGCTCTATTACTTTGCACTTGTTTTGACAAGCTGCTAAGGTTTTTTTTTATTCTATTGTTTTAGACAAGTTTGAAGGTTTTATTTGGTGATTTTTTGTTGGAACGGCGTCCATGGAAGATGACCTAGCATCTTAGTTAGAGTTCTGTAAACTCTCGGCTGAGGAGGAAATTGTGGTAGTTTTAGCTGATGATGCGGCGGTACGAGGGTCTCACTGGTGTGCTCATAGCCTAGCCAAAAAGTTGTTCACCGAGAAACCCTTGAAGTTTTTCTGGATGCGCAAGGAGCTCAGTGAAGCCTGGGATTGTGAGGGTTTACAGATGTATCATATTAAAGATAAAATGTTTTAATTTATTATTCCAAGTGAGGATGATTGCGAGCGGATTTTGTGAAATCGCCCATGAAGTTTTGATGGGGATCTTATCTCCGTTTAGCGTTGGTCACTAGATTTTGATTTCTTGGAGGCACCTTTTCTAAATGTACCCTTTTGGGTTAGGGTTACAAATGTTCCCCTCCAGTTAGCCACAGAAGATACTGCCAGAGACATTGGCTCCTCCTTTCTGTCATGTGAGACAGTTGAAGTTAGGGATCTCAACCTTAACGGTGGCTTTTATCTCTGCATCAGAGTCGGAGTGAATATATCCAAGTCTTTTCGGCGACGGGTTAAGATTCAGCATGGTGTAAAAAGCAAGTGGACGAAATTCCGATATGAAAGATTACCATCTCTTTGCTATAACTGTGGCAAGGTCGGTCATGGAATTAGGTCTTGCCCTTGCAAGGTTGAGGAGCCCATCGATGAACGACTCATTCAGTGTTTGGTTGAAAGCTTCAGGTAAAGTGGGCAAGCTTAAGAAAATTCAGCAATCTACAAGTTCTACAAGTGGGACACTGTTGTCTAATTCTGAGTCAACTGCTCTGATTTCTCCGGGGATCAGAATTTCCATCAGCGACGCTAGTAGTGGAAACGATGGTCTGGTCAACTCTTTTCTGTATGGTAAAGTGTAAAGGGTGATGATGTAGGATGACAGCTGTCCTCCTATACTGTGTGCTACAACTGTCAACCCCCTTGTGAGGGAAGGGCATACCGCGAGACCCAGGTATGAGTTTTCAAATCAGTCATTTTTGCAGTGGAGGGGGGCTCAAAAGTCTTTACAAGTTAAAGGGAGTATGGTGTATGATAACCTTAGTTCTGGGGTGGGTACTGGGCCTATTTCCTTAAGCCCATCTAGGCATGCTATCTATTTTAATCAGGTTATACAACCGGACCGCCTCACCTCCTTTGTTCATGGTCCAGCCCAACCCTTTGATTTAGGGGTGTTGGCCAATAATAGTTTGGAGAAACCCATGATTCTTGCTTATGACCCATCACACCCAATCATAGTTCAACCCAATCTTCCTTCTTCCTCAATTGTCCCACCTGCTTCTCATCCTCTGACGGAGCCAACCTGTCATCGATCGTGGATAAAAAAAGCCAGTGCTAAGCAAGTGTCAAAAATGGAAGAACCTCTAGGGAGTTCGAAGAGAAAGCTAGAATCTACAGAATCCATCCTTCAATATGCTCCCAAGAGAACGAAGGCCATGATTTCTGATGCACAATGTAATTTGATGGTGGTTGCCATCTTTACATGGCCCCAACTCCCTCAATGAGGGTTTTGGTGTGGAATTGTCAGGGTTTGGGGAACCACTGACAGTTTTCTAGTTGAGGAGGTATCCCTCCATTCCCCCCTTTAATTTTTCTGTCAGAAACAAAAAAATGCAGGTTATCGTGTGGAAAAAGTTATAAAGTTACTCGGTTCGTATGAATCTTTTGTGGTTCCATCTACTGGGAAGGCAGGCAGAGTTGTTCTCTTATTTTCAAAGGAATGGCAAATTTCTGTCATTGATTTCTCATAATTCCAAATTACGTGTAAAATCATAGGTGGTCGAGGCAATGATCCTTGGTATTTCACAGGGGTTTACGGTTCATGCTCAAAGAAGGATCGGGCTCTCCAATGGCGATATATCCACAGCCTCATGTTTTAGTTAGGCCCTCGTTGGATCCTTATGGGAGATTTTAATGCTTTGCTCCACCGTGATGAGAAAAGAGGAGGACGGCCTAAAGTTGGATGGATGCTTAAGGAATTCAAACATTTCATTGATGATTGCTCTCTGATGGATCTTCAATTTAAATGCTTCCCCTTTACATGGCGTAATAAGAGAGATTCTGGTAAGCTCATCATGGCTCGCCTTGACAGAGCTTTGTGCACGCCTCAATGGTTCCAATCCTTTCCAAGGTGTATGCTCCATCATCTCTCAGTGAATGGGTCGGATCATATAGCCATTATGTTGTGCCTCAACGACTCCATCTCTCACTCTAGATGCGAATTCCTTTTTGATTCTCGGTGGGTTAAGAAGGACGAGTTCAAACCGGTCATTGAAAAAGCTTGGGCTTCCCCGAGTGCTGGCCTCTGCAAGGTATCCCACACAAATTATGCCGATGTTAATATGATCTCAAGGCCTGGAGATGAGGTAAATGCAACAATGCCTTTGACCAAAATTAAATCTATTGAAGCAAGGTTGAAATTTATCAAATAATAGATTGATGGGTATGATAGAGCTGAATGTTGTAGGCTAGAGCAGGAGTTAAGTAATGCTTGGCGTAAGGAGGAGATGTTCTGGCTTCAAAAATCTAGAATTGCTTGGCTAGCCCATGGTGATAAGAATACAAAGTTCTTCACGGGAAAACACAAATTAGGAGAAGGAAGAATGAGATTATTGGATTGGAGGATTCTGGGGGCAATTGGTGTGATTCCAAAGATGACATTCGCAAAGTAGCTGAAGATTACTTTCATAATCTTTTTTTGTCTTTTTCGGACCAGGAGGACTCAACATTCTGGAATAGTATCAATCTAAAGGTGATGTAAGAGATGAATAATGATCTGTTAAGGGAGGGGTCCGTGGAGGAACTCCGAATTGCTTTAGCTAGCATTGGTCTATATAAGGCTCTTGGGCCTGATGGGTTTACTCCCCTTTTCTTCCAATCCAACTAGGAGATTTTAAAGTTTGATTTGTTACGAGGTTTCAATTCTTTTATTCAGGACGGAAATCTTTCCTTAAGTCTCAATGCTACTAACTTAGTCCTGATACCCTAGGTGAAACATCCCACTATCATGTTAAATTTCAGGCCAACTACCTTCTGTAATATGGCTGTTGTAAAGCATAAAAGAGAAGTAAAGAGAGAAATGAAACACAAAGAACACAAGGATATTCGGTAGTTCAACCACTAGGGCCTACATTTATAGCACAAAGAGCCTAAAAGGCTGCATTACTTTATAATATATTCTATCTTAATCTTTGTATATAATAGTCACTTCTATTTATAGGTGAAAGAATAGAGTTAATAAATATGGAAAATATATGGAAAATAAATGAAAGGAAAATTCCTAAAATCAATATCATAAATCACTCTAATCAATATTCTATCAGAGGCTAAAATCTCTCCTATGATAGGCAAAACAACAAAAAACCCCCCCATAATATATCATTGTTGTAAAATGCCCCCTAAAATATTTTTAGGAGCAAGTGCCCCCCAACTATAGACATGTTGCATATTGCCCCCTTGACAACACTTTCCGGCTACTGGAGGCTAATTTCCGACCAACAGAGTAACACAATTACTAATTTGACCCTTACTTATTAATTTATTATAAAAATTATAAAATTCATGGATGTGAAATACCAATAATGCCCTCATATTTTTATTTTTATTTTTTCATCATCTTCCCGCGGGACTGTATAATGTCTCTTGGGTGTCTTTTTTGACTCGGCGAGAAGAGGCTTAGTTCGGCGGTGAAGAGGACAGCGCGCAGGCAGTGAGGAACAACGGTGGACATTGTTTTGTAAGCAGTGGTAAACATATATATATATATATATATATATATATATATATATATCAGTTTTCAAGGCTTATAACCGTAAATAATCTTTACATACAATAGCAGATGCACTCATTTAAACAAATGTAACTGGAAACTATAACCCCGGCTCAGACAAGGATTTCTTTTTCGCCGATCACCATGATTTTCAGACTTAACACGCATAAGGAAACAATAAGCAAATTGTTGACACTTGCGGATTCCTTTCTTGAAGATACAACCTGTTTTCATTCGACTTTTCACCTTTAATACAATCAAAGTTCGAGCAATTGGAATAGAGTCGGCGACTCGCTCTGCAATTGTCGGTGAGTGCTCTGGCAAATCAATACCCATTGATGTAATGTTATATATATATATATATATATATTAGGGACAATTGAAGAAGGTGATCTAGCGAGTGAAATCGAATTTGAAGAACGGCCAATCTCTTTTGCTTCTTGCAACACACAGACACAGGGCTGTAACCTCGGATGCTTTTGAGGCCTATGTTTTATTATTATTTTTCCTTCACATTTCTGGGGCAATTTGATTTGTTAAAAAAGCTTTCAAAAAAGGGAGAGAAGTGAGTTGTACTTTAATTTTTTTTACAGGAGATAACTTCTTCAAAATTGCTTGTTATACCATCGAGGCTCTTTGTTCAAAGTTATATGAGGATACAACTCAAAATCTTAAGGAGATTGAGACTCAAATTTTGAGGAAGAGAACTGAGCTATGCCAATTTGAAAAAGAATACAGAAAGGTAATAAATGCTTGTTTTTTTAGTGGTGGATACCATGATATTGGGCAATGCATGTTCCATTCATTTGGTTTACATCCGATCTCACTACCACCGTTGATCACAAGAAGCTCTATTTTAGCATAAATCATCGGTATTACTATGGGCGATGGCAGCCTTATTGGCTTCGGCTTCTACGGCTTGGAAGACTGAAGAAGAAAAAAATAAAATAAAAATATAAGGGCATTATTGGTATTTCACATTCATGAATTTTATATTTTTTATAATAAATTAATAAGTAAAGGGGTAAATTAGTAATTGTGTCACTCTGTTGGTCGGAAATTAGCCTCGGGTAGTCGGAAAGTGTTGTCGGGGGGGGGGGGGGGGGGGGGGCAACTTGCTCCTAAAAATAGTTCAGAGGGACATTTTGCAACAATGACATAGTTTAGGGGTTTTTTGTTCTTTTGCCCCTATAATAGTCTCATATCAAATATTTTGTCAAGAAGTAATTTAAGGTAATATTTTCTAAATATAACATCTTCTAACACTCCCCCTCAAGTTGAAGGGTGTATGAAAATAACGCTCAGCTTGCATATCAAATCATGAAACAGATCATTTTCCAACGATTTGGAAAAAGACAATAAAACTGCTAGAGACACGATGAATGCGAAGAACAATGCTACCGAACACACCGGTAGCCCAAATTAGTCCATATAGCACCGAACACATAGCGAAGGTTACAAACAATGCTACCGAACACACCAGCATTCCAAACAAGTCAATAAAAACTGTCGGAGACACGATAAAGACGAAGACAATGCTACCAAACACACCGGTAGCCCAAATAAGTCACAAATAGAAACGATTTGGAAAAAGACAATAAAACTACTAGAGACACAGTGAATGCGAAAAACAATACTACCGAACACACCAGTAGCCTAAATAAGTCCACATAGCACTAAACACATGGCGAAGGTTATGAACAATGCTACCGAACACACCAGCAGCCTAAATAGGTCAATAAAAACTACCAAAGACACGACAAAGATGAAGACAATGCTATTGAATATACCAGTAGCCCAAATAAGTCACAAATAGAACCGAGAACCCTTAGCAACATTTCATATACTAAGGGAATGCCCCAAAATAGGGGTCCGAACCTAGGAAGAGAAATTAGGCTCTGATACCATATTGTAAAGCATAAAATAGAAGTGAAGAGAGAAATGAAACATGAAGAACACAAGGATATTACGTGGTTCAGCCACTATGGCCTACATCCACAACACAAAGAGCCCAAAGGGCTACATCATTTTATAATATATTCTCTCTTAATCTTTTTATACAATAATAACCTCTATTTATAGGTGAAAGAATAAAGATAATAAATATAGAAAATACATTAATGGAAGATTGCTAAAATCAATACCATAAATTACTCCAATCAATATTCTATTATAGGCTAAAATCTCTCCTATGATATTCTTATATCAAATATTCTGTCAAGGAGTAATTTAAGGGTTCCTATAATAATATTTTCCAAATATAACATCTTCTAACAATGTCATACAAATTATACTCAAAGACTTTAGCCAATCGTCTCAAACCTCTCATTCCTCTTCTTATAAGTAATTCTCAAAGTGTGTTTGTTCCTCAACGCCTCATTCATGAAAATATCTTACTGTGTCCTCAAATGAAAAAAAAGAGAGGAGAATCTGGTTTTATGGCACTCAAGTAGGATATGGTAAAGGCGTACAACAGGGTTAGTTGGTCATTTGGAGGGGCCATTGTGCAATTAACGAAAGTTATTACAAAATACCTCATTTCGAGCCTAGATCCTCGTACGGGATTCATTTTCACATTTCATCGAGTCGGGTATTCTTAGAATTTCCTTCCAGTCGTTTTCCCTAGTTTTAGGATATTTGGCCCCGGTTAGCATCAAACTTGTTTGGGGCATATCTTTCTGCTCGGGACTCAGATTTCGATGCCATTTTTTTCGTTGTTCATTTTTTTTTTTTCATTTCGGTTCTTTTTCGTTCACGGTGTTTTATCGTTTGAGCGTGTTTATGCAAATTTCACTTTTCCGGACCCGGCGGGGCCCGTTCGGGGTACTTTAAGGGTTTTACTATAAATAGAATGACTTAAAGTGAAAAATCAGATTTTCACCATCTTCTTCCCCTCTTTAGCCAGCAGCCAAGGCAGCCCCTTGGGCTGCCACCACTCTTTCTTCTTCTCCACTTGATTTCCTTTGTTATTTGTCTCGTGCCTTAACGTTTATTGTAGGCCTTGACGTGCTCTTCCTTTCCCCCTTATTAGAATCCATTTATGACCATTTTTAAGTTCAAGTTTCGAGTTCGGATTTGGATTTTCATGGTACATCAAAGGTTAAAGTTGTTGCTTTAGTTGTCCCCTACATAACCTAGGAGTATTGTCGGATTCGAAGCACTTTTCTTTTGGTGGGGATTTAAGATTTCATCTCAAATTGAGGTAGGGGATGTCTTAGGTTTATATCTTGGTTATATTGAGTGTATTCCATGTTTACACAACCTAATCACATGCCTTTGTATTAAATCTAGAAACTTTATTTATTTATTTTCTTGTATGAGATTTAATTCTCCCGGTTGGTTATAGCTTGGTTTAAAATTATGGCATGTTATTAAATTACAACTTGATATGTTCATTGACATATATTAAATTGAGAGCATTTGGACAAGTATTGAAACTTTTATTTAATTATTTTCTTGAATGAAAATTAACTCATGTGGCCGTATCTAGCTTGAAATCAATATGTGATGTCATATTATATTAGGCCCTAACATACTCTTCAACATATGTGAATTTGAGAGTATTCGGAGGTGTTTTAAAATCTAGAGATAATTAATTAATTAGATTAATTAATTTATTCCAAATGTACTATTCACTTCATTGGATTTCTGACTTGATATTGTTGATGAGCATGCCATATACTTTCACATATATTAAATCGGGAATATTTGATTAGGTTTTGTAACCTTTCATTTTATTATTTTCTTGTATGAAGGTTTAATCATTAGGATTGTATCTTGCATGGAAATTTCTTGTATTATGCTATTAAATCAAATTTTGACATGTTTTATAACATACTCTAATTTGAGAACATTTGGATGAGTTTTAAAATTTAGAGATTTTAATTAAATGAATTAATTAAA